AAAAAAAAAAAAAAAAATGATGCATTGTTAAATATCAAATGATAAAACTCTTTTAGGCAAAACTAAATGGCATTCCTTTATTTCTGCTTGTAAGTTTTTCTTCTTTGCTGAGTGAGAGAGAAAAATAAACTTGTCATTACTCAACTAAAAAAAAAAAAAAAAAGAACTAGATGGTGCCTGGCTACCACTGTCAACCACTGGGAAAGGGATCAGTGCAGGAGGTCCTGGATAGAATGGGAGAATATTGTGGAACTAAACTCAAAATCATAAAAATGACCAGGTTTGCTGGTCTGATAGAGCCCGGTGACCCCCTGAGACTATGGCCCCTAGTTACCCTTCAGGTCTAGGATTGAAGTCAACCTGTGACTTCCAGTCAAACAACAGTCAAACATCTATGGTGAACATTTACACCAGGCAGATAAACTCCTTAGAACGCTCAATCATGGGGTAACACAAGGGCAGCATTTGCAGAAGGACATAGTTCAGGGGGCAGGACAGAAGGACACATGAACAGGCAGCTATGGGGAGGATATTGAAAGAGCTGTTACATCGTGGGGAAGTGCAGTCAATGTCATAAAATACAATGTGTTTGAACTGCTGTGTGGAAAATGAATTTGCTCTGTAAATGTTCACCCAAATGGTAATAAAAATTAAAAGAAGATTAGTAATCATAATAAAAGCACACTGGAGTCTGTGAAGTGTGCTACCCTGTGATGAGAAAGTTTAGAATGTTGGGTGAATGACCAAACTGGGACCCAGAGACACGAAGGGAGCCCACGCTGCTGGAGGAATGGTGCCGACAGACTTGCTCAACGCAGGGTGACCACACACCTTCCATCTGCAGGGAACGCAGTATCTGCCAAGCACAGCAAAGGGAAGCGCAATGTAAGGAGGTCGGCCTGTGTGTGGGATGCTTGCTGGTGGTCAGTCAACAGAATAAACAGGACTCAGGATCCGTGTGTTGCGTGTGTGCACTGTGGCTAGTCCTGAAACCACGTCCCTTGTCTAAGCTGCTCCCAACACAGATGGGCACTGTGGGCAATGTCACCAGGACCCTAGGGATGTCCCGAACTTGCGCATGGTACACTAGACTGGAAAAAGGGTTTGTAGACATGACTGAGTTAAGACTCTTGATATGGGAGTGAACCATCTCATTCACCCTGGTGGCAAGGAGCATGTGGGTTCACATTTCTGCACACACTTTATTCAAAATGGGATCATAATCAGTCTGCCTCTTGGTGCCTCCACCTCCTCCAGCCTAGGGTCACCTGGTCTCCCTGCTCTCCCATGATAGCACCTGCTGCAGGTAGCTGTCCACATGGACAGCCAGGACTGCTCAGGCAGGGACAGCTCCACCCTAGGCAGTGCCACCCTACCCAGGACCCTTCTGTGGAAGGCCGAAGTGGACATCTGAAGGGCCCTGTCACTGAAAATTGCAGAACTTTAACAGACTAGAGGCATGATTAAAGTCGACAGTCATCATAGTGACTAACTTGCTATTTTTCCCTGTCTTTTGCTTTCTTTTAAGAAAACAGAAATGGTCAACCAGTTGAAATGGACTGGTTTTGGCCATTTTGAATCAGATAACCATATGATCTATTATGCTGGGAATGACAAATTGAAGAGGAATGGTGTGGCATTCATCATCACAAAGACTGTTTCAAGATCTGTTCCAAAGTACAATGCTGTCAGTGATAGGACAATATCCATATACCTCCAAGGAAGACCAGTTAATACTACTATTATTCAAATCTATGCACCAACCACCAAAACAAAGATGAGGAAATTGAAGATTTTTACCAAATTCTGCAATCTGAAATTGACCAAACATGCAATCAAGATGTGTTGATTATCACTGGTAACTGGAATGTGAAAGTTGGAAACAAAGAAGAGTTACCGGTTGTTGGAAAATATGGCCTTGACAATAGAAATAATGCTGGAGATCACATGATAGAATTTTGCAAGACCAACCACTTATTCACTGAAAATACCTTTTTTCAACAACATAAGTGATGACTACACATGTAAACTTCACCAGATGGTGTACACAGGAATCAGATTGACTATATCTGTGGTAAGAGGTGATGGAGAAGCTCAATATCTTCAGCCAAAACAAGGCCAGGAGCTGACTGTGGAAGAGACCATCAACTGCTCACATGCAAGTCCAAGTTGAAGTTGAAGACAATTAAAACAAGACCATGTGAGCCAAAATATGACCTTGGTTGTATCCTTCCTGAATTGAGAGACCATCTAAAGAACAGATTTGACACATTGAACACCAAAGACAGAAAACCAGAGGAATTGTGAGATGACATCAAGAACATCATCCATGATGAAAGTAAAAGGTCATTAAAAAGATAAGAAAGGAAGAAAAGAGCAAAATAGATGTCAGACGAGACTCTGAAACTTGCCCTTGAGTGGAGAGTAGCTAAAGCAAATGGAAGAAATGACAAGATAAAAGAGCTGAACAGAAAATTTCAAAGAGCAGCTCAAAAGACCAACCAATTATTATAATGAGATGTGCAAAGTCCTGGAGTTAGAAAAACAAAAGGGAAGAACATGCTCAACATTACTCAAGCTGAAAAAACTGGGGAAAAAATTTAAGCCTCAAGTTGCAGTATTGAAAGATTCTATGGGCAAAATATTGAATGATGCAGGAAACATCAAGAGAAGATGGAAGGAATGCACAGAGTCAGTGTACCTGGACCAAAAAGAATTGGCTGATGTTCATCCATTTTAGGAAGTGGCATATGATCAAGAAACAATGGTACTGAAGGAAGAAGTTGAAGCTGCACTGAAGGAACAAGGCTCCAGGAATTGATGGGATACCCATTGAGATGTTTCAACAAACAGATGCCCCACTGGAGGTACTCACTCGGCTATGCCAAGAGATTTGGAAGACAGCTACCTGGCCAACTGACTGGAAGAGATCCATATTTGTACCCATTCCAAAGAAAAGTGATCCCACAGAAAGCGGCAATTATCGAGCAATCTCATTAATATCGCACACAAGTAAAATCTTACTGAAGATAATTGAAAAATAGTTGTAGCAGTACATTGACAGAGAGCTTCCAGGAATGCAACCTGATTCTGAATCTGGATTCAGGAGAGGATGTGGAACAAGACATATCACAGCTGATGTCAGATGGATCTTGGCTCAAAGCAAAGAACACCAGAAAGATGATTACTTGTGTTTTATTGACTATACAAAAGCATTTTATTGTACAGATCATAACAAATTATGGATAACCTTGGGAAGAACGGGGATTCCAGAACACTTGGTTGTACTCATGAGGAACCTGTACATAGATCCAGATGCTGTCATTCAAACAGAACAAGGGGACACTGTATGGCTTAAAATCAGAAAGGCAGTGCTTCAAGTTTGCATCCTTTCACCATACTTAATCAATTTGTATGCTGAGCAAATAATCAGTTATATGAAGAAGAATGTGGCACCAAGATTGGAGGAAGACTCATTAATGACCTGCAATACACAGATGACACAACTTTGCTTGCTGAAAGTGAGAATGACTTGAAGCACTTACTGATGAAGATTAAAGACTGTAGTCTGAAGTATGGATTGCTCCTCAATATAATGAAAACAAAAATCATCATAACTGGTCCAACAAAAATTTCATGATGGATGGAGAATAGACTGAAGTTGTCAAGGACTTCATAATACTTGGTTCTACAATCAACACCAATGGAAGCAGCAGTCAAGACATCAGATGATGTATTGCACTGGGCAAATCTGCTGCAAAAGACTTCTTTCAAGTGATGAAGAGCAAAGATGTCTCCTTGAAGACTAAGGTGTGCCTAACCCAAGCCATGGTATTTTCAATCACTTCTTATGCATGTAAGAGCTAGATAATGAATAAGGAAGACTGAAGAAGAGTTGATGCTTTTGAATTGTGGTGTTGGAGAAGAATGCGAAGGGTACCATGGACTGCAAAAAGGTCTAACAGATCTGTCCTGGAAGAAGTGCAGCCGGAATGCTCCCTGAAAGTGAGAATGGCCAGACTTCATCTCACCTACTTTGGTCTGTTGTCAGAAGGAACCATTCCCTGCAGAAGGACATTATGCTTGGTAAAATGGAGGGGCAATGAAGAAGGGGAAGGTCCTCATCAAGATGGACTGATACAGTGGCTGCAAGGATGGGCTCAGGTATAGCAAGGATTGTGAGGCTGGCATAGGACCAGGCAGTGTTTCGTTCTGCTGTGCATAGGGTCGTTATGAGTTGGAGATGACTTGACAGCACTTATCAACAACAACAACCTCTTGATGGTAGTAGAGTTCTTTAGGTTTGCTATTTTTCAATTACACGTTTTTCTAAGCATAACCTTTCCCTAGGACTGGTTCTGGCTCCATTGGGATCCTAGATCTGGCTCATGATCTTCTGACATTCAATTCATAGTACCTGCTAATTTTGTCATCGTTGCCTTCAGTCTGTGAGCCAGCAGCCTGCTGTTTTACCTGCTGATCTTGGGTTCATCACCCCTGCAGCTATGAAAGTCAGGAGGAGCCTCCAGCCTGATCTCTGACCCAGGGTCTTGGGACTTTCAGCCTCTACAAGGTCATGATCCATTTCCTTGAGATCAATCTCTATCCATCTGTCTACCTACCTATCTATCTATAAGCCTTACTGGTTTTACTTCTCCGGAGAGCCCAGGCTACGACAGGCACTGCTGCAGTGCACTCAGCGTGTTCACCGTGTTACTTGCACTTTGTGTAGAGTTCCTTCCTATCGACTCTCCCAGGACTTAATTAACCAGTTCCCCTGAGGGACACGTTCCTATTTGTTGGAGATTTCAAAGAAAGCTGCAAAGAATAGCTCTGTACCCATGCCTCGTGCCATCAGACTCTTGGGAGTGTTGGTCACAGAGACACTGACTGAGCCCTTGAAACAGCCCCAGGGATGGCTTCTGTGATTGTGCGCATTCTGCTCGTGAAACGATCGGGGGACAGAGCGGTGAAGACACTCACCCAAGTGTACGATATGTAGGGGGGGAAGATGTGAACGCAAGTCAAACCCCAGTGCCTGTGCCCACTGGTACCCCACCATCCAGAAATTCCATGCCACCTTCTGAACATTCTCAGCCCCTCAGCCCATCACCCGCTCACTAGGGAAGGGCCGGGCCTGGGTCTGCCTGTCCCCCTGCTCCAGGACTCTTCACAAGCCCCCCACTTTTGAGAACACACTTTCCCTCTCTTGTCCATGGGCACCTCATTCCTGTCTGCCCAGGCTCAGCCAGGGCTCCATGGCCACTTTCCCCGGGAACTACAGCCTCCTCTTGGTGTGGTGCTGAGTGTAGCTCTGGGACACCCCTTCCCACGGCCTGGGAGCCTCCTTCAGGGCTACTCACCCCTGTGACACCCAACCCTGTCCTCCAGCTCCACATATCTCCTACGTGAGGACAGATGGGGTAAGCCTCGGGGAGCCTTGACACCCAGAGCAGGATCGAGGGCAGCAGGAACTCGGCAGGGGGCTCAGTGAAGGCCCCTGGACCAGCACGTCCTACACCTGACGTGAAGCCTCCAGACCCTGGTGCTGCATGAAGCAGGAGCCCTGGTCCCATGGAACCACCATGGCATCTGAGCTGCTACCTAAACGGGACTGACTTCTACCTGGCCCACAGGTGACAATAACGTGGCTCTCGCTGTCCCTGGGTGTTTGTGTACACTGTGTGCAAATCCGGGAGCCTCCCCCGAGGAACAGCCCCCATGCCCAGCACCTTTCTGTTCCTTGGTGACCTTCACTCCTTCCATCTGGAAGGGGGCCCGGGGGCCCAAGAGGGTATAAAGGCCAGTGGAGAGCACTCAGGTCCAGCAAGGACTCCCTGGTCAGGTAAGAGGTGCCCAATCCATGGAGTGGCGCAGCAGAGTCTGGGAGTCAGGGGCCTAGGGTCACTAGCCCCCTGGCCTTTGTTCTTCTCCCTAGGAACCTTGTGACATGCCACTCAGAGCCACGTTGCTGTTGCTAGCCCTTGCCCTGCTGGGGACCCCTGCTTGCTGGGCAGGCTGTAAGTCATTCCCACTGCAGTGCAACCCCTGGACCACCCCACCTTCTCCAGCCCCTAGTGGGGCCCCCACCCCAGCCCTGCTGACAGACTCGCTCTACCCACAAGGACCACCCATCTGCTGGGAGGGGGCGGGTCCTCTGCTCTGGGCACAGGTACTGCCTGTGACCCATGCGTCCTTTTCCATCCTTCAGCCATGTATGGCTGGGGAGAAGGCAAACAATTCAGGACTGTTTTAGCCAGAGCGGATGAGATCACGGGCATTCGGTTCTGCATCGGTCTGCTTGGACTGTTTAAAAGGTGAGTAGGAACCGGGGTCCTGGGCCTTGTTGCTGTGTCCCGACTCATCCCATGGTCTTAGGAACTTGGCTGGGGTGTGGGGGGATTTACAGGCTTTCCTCCCAGCTCCTGAGTCTGGCTCCTGGTGACCGCTGGAGGCTGGTTGGTTCCTTGGAGTCATGGAGCCATCCTCTGTCACTTTCCATTATGTCCCTTTGCCCCAGCCTGCTTCCCCCACCACTGTCACCTGCCTCAGCTCTTTCTGCTTCTGCATTGAAGTCCTGCAATTGTCTCCTGGGGTGATCTAAAGAGGGTTCAACCCCAAACCCACTGTCAATTCCAACTCATAGTGACCTTACAGGAGAAAGGAGAACTGCCCCTTAGGGTTTCCAAGGCCATAATCTTTACAGAAGGAGACAGCCTCATCTTTCTCCTGCATAGTAGCTGGTGGGTTTGAACAGGTGACCTTTTAGTTAGCAGCCAGATGTTGAACCACTGTGCCACCAGGTCCCCTTTCAAGAGGGTTAGGTGGCGGCTTCTTCCCATCTTTTCCTTTTGACCCAAACTCAACTCAACCAAAAATGATCTCTCACTTCCAGAACACATGATGGGGAATCAGGTGATAGTCTGTCCAGGTTAGGGTCA